GTTCAAGTCAGAGGGCAAACATCCTGCGGGGACTTGACCAGGTGAATGTGGAAAGGATGTTACCCCTTGCGGGAGTATCTAGAACGGGGGTGTCATCATTTTAAGGCAGATATGAGGAAACCTTTTATTTTGAGGGCTGAGTGCCTGTGGAATTCCCTTCCTCAAAAGGCAGTGGATGCAGAATCTTTAAATGTTTTTAAGGAAGACGTAGGTAGATTCTTAGTTACCAAGGTGTGAAAGATTATTGGGGATCAGGAAATGCAGAATTTAAGTTTAAAATTAGATCAGACATGGTCTTATTGAATGGCGGAGTAGGCTTGAAGGGCTGTTCTTTATAGAAAGGCAAAATACTGCAAATGTTGGAAATCTGAAACCAGCACACAATGCTGAAGAAACTCAGTAAGTCTGGCAGCATCTGTGGAGAGCAAAACAGATGAAGAGTCATAAAGGTCATACCAAATTCGAAATATTAGCTCTCTTTCTGTCTCCACAGATGCTGTCAGACCAGCTGAGTTTCTCCAGCGTTCTGTGTCTGTTACTCTTGTTCCTTATTTATTTATATGGTATCTGAGGAAGAGTGTCTTAGCTACAGATGGAGTGCAACTAAAGTCTATCAGACTGATTCCTGGGATGGCAAGACTGACAAATGAAGAGAGACTCAATCAGTTAGGACTCTGTTCACTGGAGTTTAGAGGAGTGAACAGGGTGGGGGGCGTCTCATAGAAATCTACAAAATTCCAACACAAGATGGTGCAAATGCTGGAAGGATGTTCCTGATGACCAGGGAGTCCAAAACCAGAGGCCACAGCCTAAAAATATGAGGTCAGCCATTTAGGACTGAGATGAAAAGAAATTCCTTCACCCAGACAGTAGTGTGTCCGTGGAATTCTCTGTCACAGGAAGCAGTTGAGGCCAAAGCATTGAACGTTTTCAAGAAGGAGTTAGATGTAGCTTTCAGGACAAAAGGGATCAAAGGGTATGCAGACGAAGTGGGAACAGGGTACTGAGGCAAGGACCTGGACCCAAAACATTAACTTTGATTTTTCTTCACAGATGCTGCCAGACCTGCTGAGCTTTTTCAGCAATTTCTGTTTTTGTTTTGAACAGGGTACTGAGTTGGATACATAAAACAAGCAACTGTGGATGCTGAAGATCTGAAACACAAATTGCTGGAGAAACTGTGCAGGTCTGGCAGTATCTGTGGAGAGAAAGCAGAATCAACCTTCTGAGTCCAGTTACCCTCCTTCAGAAGTGATAGCAGCTAGGAAAAGATGGTATATATACTGACGACAAGGGGGGGGGGGGGGGGGGGTGGAGTGGAGTGGAGGAGGAGGAAGGGAGTAAGCAGATAATTGGAGATGAAGTCCAGTTAGGTATAATGCATGATGGTAAGCCAGGGAAGGTGAAAGGTTGATAATAGTGACGATAAGTAAGTGAAAATGGATTAGCTGTGCTGAAAGCCCATGTCAGGAGGATAAAGGGCATGAAATAAAGTGTTCATTTTCTAAAATTATTGAGCTTGTATTGAGTCCTGAACATTGCAGCGTGCCCAATTGGAAGCTGAGATGCTGTTTTTCCAGCTTGTACTTTGCCTTGATGGAGCGCTGCAGCGAGTCCAAGAGATAGATGTTGGCCATTTTACAGACAGCGACGAGGTCGCCTAATCTACATTTTTTTCTCCCCAGTGTAGAGGGGACCATGTTGTGAACACCCCCAAGTACACTAATCCAGAATGAGTGAAGTGCAGGCAAATTGCTGCTTCATCAGAAAGCCTTCGGTAGCGAATAAATGAATGAGCAAGTGTTGCACCTTCTGCCATTGCATGGGAATGTGCTGTGTAAGTGTGATGGGATGCTGGGGGTGGACCAGGAGGTAATGGTCCCTGCGGAATGCTGAAGCAGAAGAGGGGAATATGTGTCTGGTGGCGGCATCCCGCAGGAGATGGCGGAAATTGTGATTTATGATTCTTTGGATGTGGAAGCTGGTGGACTGGAAAATGAGGACCAGCGGTATCCTATCAATGTTATTGAAAGGAATAGAATGTGTGAGGACAGAAGTTTGGGAAATGGTTCGCACACAGCTAAGGGCCCTGTCTACCACAGTGGTGGGTAAGCTTTGGTTGAGAAGAAACGTGAACATTTGGTGGAGAAAGGAAAACAATATTAAACCAAATGTACCATCAGTTTTGAGGAAGGGTCACTCAACCTGAAATGTTAACTCTGATTTCTCACCACAGATGTTGCCAGACCTCCTGACCTCTTCCAGCAATTTCTATTTTTGTTTCTAGTTTACAGCATCTGCAGTTCTTTTGGTTTTTATTAAACCAAATCTTGTAGGTTTCAACAAGATTACAAGCTCCAGTACCTTACCAATGCTTAAGTGAAGCAGTGTTAAATTGGACAGCTTTAAATGCAGACCTCCAAACAGTTTTCTTTAAACTGCATTGAACTTGCCAAAAAATATTGAAACCAATTGCTGCTTTATCATCGTCAGACCAGAAACCACCTACTGACAGACTCTCGTGACTTTCACATCCAGGCTGTGCATGATTCAGTGCCATGCTTGGCACAGCATTCATCCACTAATCTATCAGAAGAGTGAACATCAATAAAAGCATCAGTGTGATTGTCTAACCGACAGAACAGGCCTGTATTGCAGATAAGGTGCTGAGACAAAAGTAGGAAATTGAGTCAACAGATTACTTTATTTTAATTTTCCAAACACATTCCCAGTTTTTTCAGGCCAGCAGCAAATGAGTTGGAGTAAAATTTAGTCCTGCATTTAGAATCTTAGAATCCTACAGAGTGGAAAGAGGCAGTTCAGCCCATCAAGTCTGCACCAACCCTCTGAAGAGCATCCCACCCAGACTCCGCTCCACTGTATCCCGATAACCCCACATTTACCATGGCTAACCCACTTAGCCTGCACATCTCTGAATACTAATCCGCCTAACCTGCCCACCTTTGGACTATGGGAGGAAACCAGAGCACCTGGTGGAAATCCGTGCAGACACTGGGAGAACGTACAAATTCCACACAGTCAGCCCCGGCTGAAATCAAACCCAGGACCCTGGCACTGAGAGGCAGCAGCGCTAACCACTGTGCCACCCTAACCTTTCACTGCCTTGCTTAACGAGAATCTATCCACCTCTGCCTCAAAAACATTCAAGGACTCTGCTACCACTGCCTTTTCAGGGAGAGATCTTGTTGAGCTCGATCTTGTTGAGCTCGATCTTGTTGAGCTCGA